TTTGCAGAAAGCTGGTTCAAACTGTATACAGACATCTTCGAGGTCACTTTGATTGCTCTGTAGACCTTCCAGAATTATATACTTGTGCTTTCAAGGGCTTTCTCATGGTTTTGAATCATGCCTTTGCAAACAGATCTGTGAATACTATGGTTAGAAAAACATATTACTTACATAGTTTTACTGGTGTTATTCCTCTAATAGCATGCTGTCCAGAGCACTACAGTAAGTTGTTAGTGTATATTAGTGCACTTGAGGAGGATCCTTAGGTATTTAGGTATTACCATCATGTTTTGTACAAATGTATTACCACACAGCTTCAGCCCCTGTCTTTTGTCAACACTAGACAGATAACACTGTGTTGCTTCTTCAAAAGAATGGTTTTATTAGCTCTGCTAATGTTACTTTCACTTAGTGCTTCTGAGACTCCTAAGATGATCGTGAAAGAGGCATGTTTGAACATGGACCTGTATTCTTCTCTGCAATAGGATGATAAATAAAAGAATGGAGTATTCCAAGAAGTGATAATAAATAGTGAGGCAATTGGAGGAAACATTTCCCATGTGTGATTTTAGTCTTGTAGTATCCTGAGATCTTTTCTATGATAGGGAAAGATGGGGTGTGAGCAGTGGATGTCATCTACTTTGACTTCAGCAAGGCTTTTGTTACTGTCTCCCATGACATCCTCATAATGAAGCTGAAAAAGGGTGGGAAAGATGAGTGGATGTTGAGAACTGGCTGACTGGCTGAGCACAGAGGATTGTGATCAGTGGCACAGTTTGGTTGGAGACTTGTGACTGGTGGTGTTCTCCAGGGGTCGGTACTGGCTCCAATCTTGTTCTGTATCTTCATCGATGACTTTGATGAGGGAATAGTGTCCACCCTCAGCAATTATGCTGATGATACAAAACTGGGAGGAGTGGCTGACGTGGTGTCATTCAGCAAGACCTGGACAGACTGGAGAGTTGGGCAGCAAGCAACCAGATGAGGTTTAAGAAAAGCAAGTGTAGAGTCTTGCACCTGAGTAGGAATAACTGCAAGTATCAGTACAGGTTGGGACATGATCTGCAGGAGAGAAACTCTGTGGAGAAGTACCTGGGGGTCCTGGTGGATGACAGGTTGGCCATGAGCCAGCAGTGTGCCTTGAAGGCCAAGAAGGCCAATAGGATCCTGGCTTCCAGGTCAAAGAAGTGTGACCTGCAGGTCAAGGCAGGTGATCCTTCCCCTCTGTTCTGCCATGGTCAGGCCTCATTGTAGCCTCGTATCCAGTTCCAGGCTCCCTGGTACAAAAAAGACCTGGATCTCCTGGTGCAGCAGAGGACCACAAAGATGATAAAGAGTCTGGGACACCTCCTCTATGAGGAAAGGTTGGGTGACTTGGGTCTGTTCAGCTTAGAGAAAAGAAGAATGAGAGGTGATCTTATTAATCTTTATAAATATCTTAGGTGTGAGAGACAAAGGATGTGGCCAACCTCTTTTCAGCATTCTGTGGGAACAGGACAAGGAGAAATAACCATAAACTGGAGCATAGGAAGTTCCACAGCAATGTGTGTAGAAACTTCTTTACAGTGAGGGTGACAGAGCACTGGAACTGGAGCACTGGAGGCTGCCCAGGGAGGTTGTGGATTCTCTTTCTCTGGAGATGTTGAAGACCTGCTTGGACGCCTACCTGTGCAACCTGCTCTAGGGAGCCTGCTTTGGCAGGGGGTTTGGACGTGATGATCACTGGAGGTCCCTTCCAATTCCTACAATTATGTGATTCTGTAATTCTGTGATACAATACTGGAAGGACAAAACAAAAAGCCAAGAGAATGTACTCTCGTGTAATTTTCTTTTGTTAACTTTTTGATTGCTAATATATTTATAAATATATGAAGATTTCAAAGAACTATTTGATTTTGTGTTTCTTTATATAAAGTGGTTGAATCATAGAATTACAGAATCCTTAGAGTTAGAAGTACCTCTGAAGGCCATCTAGTCTAACTCTCCTGCAGTGAACTGCAGCTAGATCAGGTTGCCTAGGGCCTTATCCAGCCTCGCTTTGAAGGTATCCAGAGATGAGGCATCAATCACATCATTGAGCACCTGTTCCAGTGCCTCACCACCCTCACTGTACAATAATTTTTTCTTGTATCTAACCTAAATCTACCCTCTTTGAGCTTGAAAGCATTTCCCCTTGTTCTGTCACTACAGACCCTGCTAAAGAGTCTGTCTCCTTCTTTCCCCATTGATAATGAAAGGATGCCATCAGGTCACCTTGCAGCCCTCTCCAGGCTGAAGAATACCAGCTCTCTCAGCCTGTCTTTGTAGGAGAGTTGTTCCATTCCATGGATCATTTCTGTGGCCCTTCTCTGGATGCGCTCCAACAGATCCGTGTCTCTCCTGTACAGAGGACTCTAGATGTGGAAGCAGTGCTCAGGGTGAGGCTTTGCCAGTGCAGAGTGGAGGTAGGATCACCTCCCTCGTCCTGCTGGCCGCGCTTCTCTTGATGCAGCTCAGGGGATGGTTGGCTTTCTGGGCTGTGAGGGCACATGGCTGGCCCATGTTCTGCTTTCCATCCAGCAGTATTCCCAAGTTCTTCTCAGGAGGGCTGTGCCAGTCCTTTTGTCCCTCAGCTTGTATTGGGTAATGGGGGTTGCCTCAACCCAGGTGCAAGATCTTGCATATGGATTTGTTGAAGCTCATGAGGTTCACCTGGGCCCACTGCTCAAGGCTGTGTAGGTCCCACTGGATAGCATCCTGTCCCTCTGATGTGTTGTGTCAACCTCACTCCACAGCTTGGTATCATCAGCAAACTTGCTAAGGGTGCACTTAACCCGCTGTCAGTGTCATTGATGAAGATATTAAAGATTATCAGCCGCAGCGCTGACCCCTGGGGGACACCACTCGTCACCAATTTCCACCCAGACACTGAGCTGCTGATCACCTCTCTCCGGACTCAATCCTACAGCCAGTTCTTCATCCGTTGAACAGTCCACCCATCAAATCCATCTCTCTCCAATTTGGAGAGAAGAATGTGGTGAGATATTACAGGCCTTACTGAAGTTGAGCTAGATGACATCAGCGGCTCTTTTCTTGTCCACTGATGCAGTGACATGATTATAGAAGGTGACTGGGTGGGTTAAGCAGGATTTGCCCTTGGTGAAGCCATTCTGATTTTCTCCTATGACTTCCTGCCTTCCACATGCCTTAGCAGAGCTTCCAGGATGATCTGTTCCATGATCTTCCCCAGCACAGAGGTGAAACTGAAAGGTTGGCTCATCCTTTTAACGTTTTAAGAGATGAGTATGATGTTACCTTTTTTCCAGTCACGAGGGACTTCACCTGATTGCCACATATTATATTTATATATTATATTATATATTTTCAAATATCATCGAGAGTGGCTTGGCGGCTACATCAGCCAATTCCCTAAGGTCTCTGGGATGCATCTCATCAGGACTTGTGGAAGTTCAGGTGGACACGAACCTGATCTTCATTTACAGTGGGAGGGACATTGCTTCCCCATTCCTCCTCTTATCAAACAAAATGTTTGAGAGCTGTGTGATAAGTAGATATCAGGGAAGACTGAGGCAAAAAAGCTGTTATGTACCTCAGCCTTCAGTCTGTCATTACCAGCTTGCCTTTGTCACTCACTGGTACTGTGGGTATGCCTTCCTGAACTTTCCTTTTCTGGTTGAGATACCTTCTTGTTCTTTTTGACATGCTTGCCAAGTTCAGTTGAAGCTGGGCCTTGGCTTTCTTGACTGCATCCCTACACAGCCTAGCAGCTTCCTTATACTATTCTCATGGTATCTGCCTGTTTCCACTGCCTGTGCATTTTTTTTTTTTTTGCTGTTCAGATTGACCAGCATGTCCTTGTTCAGCCTTGCGGGTTTCTTCCCTTCCTTTCCTGACTTACTACACCTGGGGATGGAGAGCTCTTGCAACCAGAGGAAAGCTTCCTTAAACATCTGCCAGTTCTGCTCTGAACCCTTGTTCAGAGGGCAAAGGACAGTTTCCCAGGGTGTTTAGCTGACTAACTCCCAGAAGAAATGGAAGTTTAGCTTCTGAATTTTACTCTTCACCTGTTTCATATTCCTCCAGAGTGTGAACTCAACAATAGTGTATGAATGGCATGTTGTTTTTGCATTAGAACTAAATATATTACTAATAGTCCTTTCCTAGTCTTTTTACTTCATCCGGGTCTCTAATAGTCTTCACATGCTCAGCAGACAGATGAAGTAATTTATAGTCACAGAGATTAGATAGATGGAGTAATTTATAGGTACAAAGACTGCAGCTCTTGTCTGTCCAGCCATCTGGAGTACCTCTGAGCCTTGAGTTAAAGATAAGTTAGATGGCTGTATGGGAACTGTTGATCACAGCCTGAACCTCTGATTGATCACCTGAGGCAAGCAGTAAGTCAACCGCAGGAGCACAGGTGAAGGCAGTTCTCCTGTGCTACCGGAAGGGGTGGAGCCTGGCTCCACCTTTCCTAGATCCCATCTAAGGGCTGACTGCCACTGAGGAAAGATCTCTTTCTGGGGATTGCTCTTTGTGGAGTTTATTACGAGCCTACAACATCAGTGAGCATTTTTCATTTGTTATCTTTCCACCGTGATAATCCTACTTAGCTTAACATCTGTACATTTATTGATTGTACACCTATTGATTGTACAATGGCTCACTCCTAAACACTGTGACAAGGATATCAGTAGGCTCGTTATGTTGAAAGACTACTAATTTTTTGTGCTGGACAGAAAAGACCTGAGTGGAAGAAAACTCAAGAAGAAGTTAAACAATTAGCAATATACATGTTTAGATAGCAGTGATTTATGTTTAACAGGTATCCGTATATTTAGTTAAGCATCGGGAAGATTAGTAAATCTGAAGTACTCAGCCATTGAGGAACCAGGGGGAGGAAAAGATAAGCATTGGGTGATAGGCCATAAAAGATGTAACACTGTTTTCTGTGTGCGTTCCAGCTTGCAGAATGCCCACCATTGCAATCACAAGTAAAATCTGCTTTTATCAGAGACACCGTCTTGATAAATTGTTTGGATATTTCCAATAATAGCATAGTCACTACAGCCCAGACAGCCTCCAATCCTGATGTCACCGATCAGTTCATTTATGTAGGTGAGCAACAGGTCCAGTACTGCATCCATAGTGAGGCTGTTCTATTACTTGACTCAGGAAGTCAGTGCATTGCAGGAGCCTCCTGGGTTGCCTACAGCTCACTGTGCTACTTTTCCAATAGATGTCTGGGTAGTTGAAGTCCCCATGCAGGACAAGCACTTGTGATTGTGATGCCTCCTGTAATTTGAGGTAGAAGGCCTCATCAACAGGCTCTGCCTGATCTGGTGGCAGATCTACTACTATCTGTAGTAGATACCCATCACAAGACTCTTTTTGCTGCTTCTGTCTATAACTGTCATCCATAGGCTTTTGACTTTCTCATGACTGTTCTTTAGTGAAAGATCTTCACATTCTCTTCCTTTCCTGATGTAGATAGCAACATCCCATCCCCTCCTTCCTTGTCTGTCCATTCTGCACAGCTTGTAGTCATCAGTTGCCACACTCCAGTTGTGGCAACCATCCCACAGAGTTTCAGTAATGACAGCTACATTTATGGTCTTCTAGTAGCACAGTAGCTTCCAGCTCCTTCTTTTTGTTTCCCGAGCTGCACACGTTGGTGCAGAGGCACTTCAGCCGGGCAGCTGGTATTGTTACTTTCTTAAAGGATGACTCCTCAATTCCTTTTAGGTATTTCCCTTGATTTTCTCCATTGCATTCTCCTGCTGCCCCAGTAGTCATTGCCTCATCATCGTAGAGTTTTGTATGTGCTGCAGTGTTGCTATCACCTCTCAAGACAATGGGTCCTTTGGGTTTCCCTGAAACCTTGACCTAATATAGTTATGTCTTCCCACACCTTATCATGGGAAGTCTCGTTATCCCTGCACCCCCTTCACCTTGTTTAAAGCCCTTCCAGTGAGCCTCGATAGCTTTTCCCCAAGGACCCTTCTTTCCCTTTGAGAAAGGCAAACCTCATCTGGTGCCCATAAACCCAGTACTATGTAGATTTATTGGTTGTCAGAAAACCCAAAGTGCTGGGATAGCACCAGCCACAAAGCCAGGTATTTAAATATAAGATCCTTTGGTTTGTTTCTGTGTCTTTAGGCAATGCAGGAGACAGAGAAGATGATCTGTTCATTCAGTTCCTTTAGCTGTTGTTCCAAAGTCCTGAGGTCGATTTTGATAGTCCTTGACCTACCTGAAATTGCTTCATCTCTACCTGTATGGAAAAACAGAAAGGGGTTGTGGTCTGCTGGCTGTACCAGACCAGGTAGTTTCCTGGTGACATCCCTCACCCAAGGACAACAGACTTCTCTAAGAAGAGAGTCTGCTTGGAATACTGGGTGTTTAGTTACACATTAGGGAGGAATCACCTACAATACTTGTCTCTTCTTCTTCAGTGAAGTAGTCCCGGTGTTGAGGGAAGGCTTTTAATGGTCTGGTTTTGTTAGAATGTCTAGACTGAGTGAGCTGTCACCCACAGACCGGCCTTCCACATCCAGGGCCTCATACCTCTTGTACAGAGGCACCTGGAGGGGTGGAGCAGACAAGGAGAATTTTATTTGCTCCTTCAGGTGCAGACTTGCCTCCATCTGCTCTGTTCTTGTCCCCAGCCTTGCAATTTTTTTTTTTTTTTTTCCAACCTGATGTGATACTGGTTGCCTTGAGCTTGTGTTTTTTCCTTAGAAATAACCTGTTTGTGCATGGATGAACAGTGGTTTCCCTGCTCCTCCTTTTTGTTCCCAATGACACGTTTTCATCTTGTAGTTTGGCCACGAGGCTGAGTAGGCCGTCAGTCTGCTCGCAGTCACACAGCTGTTCTGATGGTTGCCCCACGGAGACAGTGAGAGGCTCAGGCGCTGTACACATCCGGAGGTCTGAAGTGTTGCAACATCCTTCCTGACATGTGTGACACCCTAGCTCTCCTTCGGGTGGATACCATGATTAAGTCTCGGTCCTTGAGAGGATAATCCTGCACTTCAGAGTGTGATGAGCCTGAACTTTGCAGCTGATAATCACCTAATGAACTTATCTCTGTAGCCTTTAGGGTACTCGCCTGCTCGCTCGCCCAACCGCCCTGCACGAGCTGCCGCCTCACGCCGTTCTGACGCGCCACGCTCTGTGTGCCCGGACGTCCTGTTTGCTCAGCTCCCTCGTGGCACGTTTTTTATGCTGTCAGCCCCCGACTCCGCCCCCACCGCGTCAGTGCCGCCGCACGGCGGGGGCTGCTCCCACCCTCCCGACGGCTTTTTCCGTGGAGCCCTGCTGCGGATTTTCTTTCTTGTGAAGGCTCCCTCGGTGTGAATTTCTGCTATGCAACTGATGTGCACGTTTTTTGTTGTTTTTTGTTTTTTTTTTCTCGATCTCCCAAATTTCTGTCCTAATAAGGAAGTTACCAGTTTTCCGTCTGTGACATATAAGCATTCTTCTCTTGACTTAAGAATTTTGTTCATTTATACAATCTGTTTGACTTGCTTTTGTCTACCTCAACTGTTCCTGGTCTATAAATTTTCCCTTTAATTTTTTTCAGGAGAGCATGGGGTAAAGGTTTTTTTGTTTGCTTGGTGTGTTTTTTTTTTTAATGTTTAAAAAGACTACAGTTTTATTTTTTAAATCTGGCTTACATCAGCCTGACAAAAAACAGAAGACTCAGTTCCTTTGTTTGTGAACAATGGAGGACTGAAATATGACAAGCCCCTACTGAAAATCAGCAAGCAAATGTAGCATGACAGATTAAATACTAAGAATCTCAAGAGTAGAAGAGATTTAAAATTCAATAAACATATTTAAAATCCACAAAATATTGCTCTGTTTAAGCAGCATAACATTTAATTTATTATACTTTCTGCCATATTTTACATTAACATTTTGAAATGGATTGGAGGCATCTACTTTCCTTACATCTTCACTGTGTTTAGAAGTCCAGTTCTGATATGCAAGTGCAATCAAGACAATTTATCATTACAGGTGGATGTTCTCTGAACACAGGATTGGTTGTTATTGTTTTGGTTTTTGTTGTTTGTAACAAAAGTTTAGCACCAGTCAATAATCCACTGACCATAACAGTTCAATAGCAGGTTCTAGTGCAGTGGCTATTCTTGTTAATTGGAGACAGTTCTGCTGAATCTGTTTCCTTTCTCTTATTGCTTGCAGTACTTGTAGTCTATCCTTCCTTTTGCTGAGAACTGCTGAGCTTGTTAGCAGATTTCATGGATGATGGTTAATGGCAAACGTCTTTGCTCACAAATACCACGAGTCATAACTAAAAAGTTATGCATTTCTATTACATGCATAGTAAATGGTTTATACAGTCTGGCATTACCTGTGGTCTGAAGCCTGATGAGTGAAATGGATTGCCTAGCTGGAATTGCACACAAAATTGGTTGGAACATACATCTGTTTTGGTCCTTTCCACCAGCTCCTGGTAATATTAGGATGTGACTAGCAAAGCAAGCAGCCAGAACTGAGCAAATGCTGCATTTGAATTCCTGTTTCTCAGTTACTTCATGAACTATTGCTATATAATGTGTTAAAAACAGATTGTATATTTATGTACATTAACACATGCCTGTCTATATATAAAACATATAAATATATTATAAAAAAAAAAAAAAAAGAATTGTGTATTTCCTCAATTCTTGTTTGCGGAAACATATTAGTAAAGAACACCAAAAGTGCAACAAGTCAGTACTAGCATTAAACACTGCAGTAAACAAGGAAGACGCTTCTTGAATTCATTCACTGATGCCAGGAGCTATCAAGCTTTTGTGAGTTATGGTATTTGTGGTGCTTTACAAAGGAAAAGAGATGAAGAAACTTCTGGTTTTGGCCTGACTGTTGCTCTCTCTTGTATTTTCTTCATAATAACATGAAGTTACATTGTTCTGAGCTATAGATTATCTATAGTGACAACTGTAACAGATACTTACACTGTTTTTTCCTCTTCTTTAGAATTGGGGATATCTTCAGTAAATAACTTGCTGCTTACAGAAACGACTGAAATAACTGAAGTTGTGAAATACAGGTAGGCAATACAGCTAATTTATTTTTCATTTTAAATGTTCAGCTGAACATGGATGATGAATCTATTAATATTCATTGTGATGACAAAACCATGAAGTCATTATAGGGTTTTTAACCTTAAAAAGATTGGATCTGATTTCATGGCACTTTTCATGAATTCTAAAAATCATTTTGATTGCCACCCTTGTGATGGTGGCTGAGAAACTTAACACGAGTCAACAGTATGTTCTTGCAGCTCAGAAAGCAAATGGTATCCTGGGTTCCATCAGAAGATGGGTGGCCAGCAGGGACAGGGAAATGACTGTGTCTCTCTACTCTGCCCTTGTGAGGCCTCATCCGGAGTACTGTGTCCAGATCTGGGGCCCCCAATACAAGAAAGGCTAGAAGAAATACAAGGAATTGTTGGAGAGAGTTCAGAGGAGAGCCACAAAGATGATCAGGGGGCTGGAGCACCTCCCCTACAAGGACAGTCTGAGGGAGCTGGGCTTGTTCAGCCTGGAGAAAAGAAGGCTGTGGGAGGAATTGCAGCCTTTCACTACCTAAAAGAAGCCTACAAACAGAAGGGGAGTCAACTCTTTGCAGGAGTAGATAATGGCAGGATCGAGGGGAAATGGTTTTAAGTTGAGAGAGGGAAAATGTAGGTTGGATGTCAGAGGTAAGTTTTTTACAGAGAAAATGGTGAGGTGTTGGCACAGGCTGTCCAGAGAGGTTGTGGATGCTCCATCCCTGGAGGTGTTCAAGGCCAGGTTGGATGGGGCCCTGGGCAATATAGTCTAGTATTAGGTATGGAGTTTGGTAGCACTGCCTACAGCAGGGTGGTTGGAACTTGGTGATCCTTGAGGTTCCTTCCAACTCAAGCCATTTTATGATTCTGTGAGTCCCTGATGACAAATCCAGCAGAATTATGATAAGCAGACTTCTTTTGTGTTTGTAATAAAAACACTGGTTAATATTCATACCTAATTCAAACCAACTTTAATAGGAAGTCCAGTGTCTTTGTGACCCTTGATTTCATGAATTATTTTTGAGAGCATTGAATTGTCTTATTGGCCCAACGGACTCAGGTGTTCCTGGATAAAATTCCACTTATTTTATCTATTTTTTTTTCCCTAATTATTGTACTCAAGTATATTCTCTTTGGCGTTTTTGATTATTTTATGTCAATTTTACATACCTATTTCACTGTTGAAATTAAGTTTTTAAAATATATTTGCTATATCTAATTCTTCAGTAAAATGATAAAATTCTGGCTTTCTTTCATGACTAAGAATTCTACTTAAATTTAGTATCGTGTTACCGCTTATTGTAGTTTGCTGAACTTTGAAAGACCCATTCAGCTTGTCTATACTACTTAATTCCCCTCAAGTACTTATGCTTTGGTGTGCTCTCATGTAATGTAGATTAATGGCCATTATTTTTAATGAGCTGAGTTCACCTTTAATAAAATTCCAGGATATATCTATTCCGTATCAACTTGAATAGTTGATATAATTACTGCACATTTATGTAGGATTTAATTCAGTGAATTCAAAAGGTTTTAAATTATACTTCAATGTTTTCCTTTACTGTTTTCTATTCTGTTGTTCAAAAATTCCATATGAACTTTCAAGACAGATTGTTAGATAACAGTACTTTAGGAAGTATGAGCAAAAAAGTGTTACACGTGTTGCTTCCTCAGGAAGAAATGTGTCTTGTGAACGCATTACAGAATTCTGTTGTAAGAGCAGAGCATGCAAAATAATATTTAATTACTCAAGTACTAAGAAATAAATATTTTGCTATTTTACATCATCCTTTCTGCTTCTGAGTACTATTCATGAAATATATAATTTGAGTAACAGTCACCCCTAAACACAATCAAAGTCAGCTGAATTTCATTTAAATATTTGTTAATAGCTAAAATGACTTTTTTTTCTCTTCTTTCTCTCTCCCTTCTCCCAAGCTTGTTTGACAACTCTGAAATGTTTTGAGTATGACTGCAGTAACAGACATGTTTGGGCTTATCTTTCATGTTAAGCACTTCCTTTCTATGAGCATACTTGCTTTTTTAAGCTGTGATTTTGCTATTAGTTGAGAGCACTGTGCTGGAGAACCTGGGAAAGGAGAAGTCCACACATGTATTTGTCCTGGAGAGATCTGTAACAAAGAGGTGGTTTTTATTACCAGCATCTGAAACTAGAAGGGTAGGTGATGTCGTACATCAGGGACAAGAGCTGCACCTTGCTTCTTCTGGCCCTGCAGTTTCATCTGTGGCCTGCTTCAGTTCTGTTATGTCTCATGAACAGATCCGGAAGCTTATATACTTACCTTATTAAAAAATGTTACAATGGGGAATTGGCATGGTGTGTGGAAATGGGAAATATCATTCTGGAGATTCTGTCAGGAGTTTGGAGAAGAAAACAGAGAGAAGAAAATGGTATTCAGATGAAGTAATAGAACAAAAACGCATCCTGTGGAGGTTGGTAGAAGTGAGAGAAGAGACAATAGGCAATTGGATGGCAGATTATAGGGATAATAACAGCAGGTGAAAGATGTTGGTGATTTGTGATTGAAGAGGAATCCAAGAAGAGACCGAGGAATGGAGGTAGCATGTTTAAGGAGAACAGGGATTGTACTGAGTGTATCAGGAGGTCTTATGCATGGGTGATAGCTGGTGCAGGAGCAAACCAGTGGGGAAGGGAAAGGGATTCTATGCAAGCACTGGAGACAGTCAACAGTGATACACTGGAAGAAGAGGGAGGCAAGAGGCAAAGAGAATTGCAGAATCATAGTCGTAAGTGTTGGAAGAGACCTCTGGAGATCATCTAATCTAACCCTCTGCTAAAGCAAGAATGGGTTGCATAGGAAAGTGTCTAAACGGGTTCTGAATATTTCCAGAGAGAAGAACTCCACAATCTCTCTGAGCAGCTTGTTCCAGTGCTCTGTCAGCCTCAAAGTAAAGATTTTTTCCTTATGTTCATGTGGAACTTCATGTGTTCCAATTTGTGCTTGTTACCCCTTGTCCTGTTGCTACATACCACTGAAATGAGCCTGGGCCCACCCACTTAAGTACCTCCTTAGGTATTCATAAGTACTGATAAGACTGCCCCCCTCAGTCTTCTCCAGGCTGAACAGTCCCAGGTCTCTCAGCCTTTCCTCATAATGGCAATGGTGTGGTCCCCTCATCATCTTTGTGGTCCTCCACTGGACTCTCTCCAGTAGTTCACTGTCTTTCTTGAACTCAGGAGCCCAGAACACATTACTCCAGATGCGGCTTCAACAGGACAGAGAAGAGGGGAAGGATCACCTCTCATACCCTGCTGGCCACACTCTTTTCAGTGCACCCCAGGACACTACTGGCCTTCTTGGCCATAAGGGCACACTACTGGCTCATGGTCCACCTGTTGTCCACCAGCATACCAGGTCCTTCTCTGCAGAGTTCATTTCCAGCAGGTCATCCCCTAACCTGTACCTATGCATGCGGTTATTCCTCCCCAAGTGTAGGGCTCTATATTTACCCTCATTGAACCTCACAAGGTTCCTCTATACTCAACT